GATCCCTCCTTAAGTGTGTTGTGTCAGTGTTTGATCCGGTAGGTCTAGCAGCACCAGCAGTTGTGCCGGGAAAGATACTGGTGCAACAAGCCAGGAAATTCGGAGGCGACTGGGATGATAAGTTGCCTGATGGCATCGCAGCCACATGTGCGCAATGGTGGCGAGAGTTGGCTGAAGTGGTGAGCATTGACATACCACGTTGGATTTGCTGCAATCTTGACATGCCGATTGCGCTTCATGCCTTCGCGGATGCCAGTGAGAAAGCGTTTGGATGTTCTTTGTATGCAGTCGTCAATGGACAGTCGCACTTGGTATTTGCCAAGGCCAAAGTGGCACCGGTGTCTCCGCCCACGTTAGCCCGCCGTGAGTTACAAGCAGTATGTCTAGCGGCTCGCTACGCTGAGTTTGTGGTGAAGGAGCTGCGTGTGACCGTCACGCAAGTCTATGGCTGGACTGACAGTCTCACTACCGTTCATTGGATCAGTAATCCATTATACAAATAGAAAACATTTGTGGCTAACCGCGTCAGTCAAGTCCAAGAGATATTGAAGAAGGTCGGCATTGTGTGGAACCATTGCCCGAGCCTTCACAACCCAGCAGATTTACCGTCAAGCGGGAGTAGTGCACAGCAGATCCGCAGCCCGTTCTGGATGGGTGGACCAACCTCGATCACGGAGCCCAATGACTGGCCCACCGCATCCTTAATCGCAGCTACAGATGAGTCCAGTGTAGAAGTGTGAGTGTCAGCCACCACCTGTAGTCGAGAATCTGATAATGAATGGTGGCTCCGATTCAGTAGGTGGGCGAGGGCACAGGGCACGGTGACTCGGATGTTGCAGTGGAAGCACACTGAGCCTCGTGCTGGACTCTGTTTTGCAGCAGACAACGTATTCTACTGCATCGTTCAAGCCGAATTTTTTGCTGAGGATCTTGAGCTGATCAAGCAAGGTCAACCAGTGAAGCCTGGGTCGAAGGTGTATCAGCTTGCATCGTTTCTGGATGAGCATGGAGTGCTCAGAGCCGGGGGACGACTTCAGCACAGCGAGTTGGCGTATGAAGCCAAGCACCCAGTCCTATTAGGCAAACATCATCTGACCGAGTGCTGTTGGAGAAAACGCATGTCGAAAGGATGCACCAAGGTGTAGAAGGGGTATTGTGGTACATCCGTCAGAAATTCTGGATTATCGGTGGTCGACGAGCGCTACGCAACATTACTCAGCGATGTGTTACATGCCGCTGCTACAAGGCTAAGGCTGCCTCAGAAGTCTGCTCGTCACTGCCATTTGCATCTCGCACTAACTTTTGACTGCACACGTACGTCAGTTGGCGCCCATATGCACACAGCCCGCATGCCTTCCGTCTCGACTGGTCCTGCCTGCAAGTCTATGCCTTCCCTCCAATCTATCTGATTGGCACATGCCCGGCCAGGGTTGTTCCACAGGAAATCCCATCCATAGTCATGGTCACTCCGCTTTGGCCCGGCCAGGCTTGGGTTCCAGCTCTCTTGGCACTCGTGGTGGACATTCCGCGTGTGCTGTCAACCTCTCCGGTCTTGTTCGCTGGTCCAGATCACAAAGTTCACCCGTCAGTACAGTCAGCTCACTTCACCCTGGTCGCATGGAAACTCTCCGGGCTAGCAACAGCCGCAGCGGAGTTTCGGACGACCCTGCCAACCTACTCTTGGCGTCCTGGCGTTCCCTCACCGACCGTGTGTATCAGTCGGCATGGAACACATGGTGTGATTGGTGTGCCACACGGCAAATTGCTTCCCTGGGTGTTCTCTCAGAGGTCCTCGATTTTCTGACCTCTTCATTCCGTCTGGCTCGACTGTATCATACGCTAGGATTGTACCGGTCAGCCATGTCAATGACGCTTTCTCCCATCGATGGCGTTGTGGTTGGCCCGCATCCTCTGGTGTCTCATATGCTACCCGGTGCATACCAGTTCCGTCCTTCTCAGCCGTGCTATGGCAGCATGTGGAATGTACAGGCAGTCCTGGATCGGTTCCGGAACATGTCCTTCACGCATGAGTCTCTCAAAGAACTGACTCTCAGGTTGACTATGCTGCTGGCTCTGACGGGTGCCCGGCGTTGCTCTGAGCTGCAGAAGCTCGATGTTCGTTTTATGGACATTATTGTCAACGCTGCCAAGTTCATTTGGGATCCCCACTTTTACCCAGAATCAGCGCGTCGGTGATCCAGCCAAGCAGTTTGTCTTCCCTGCTTGCCCTCAGCACCCTCCGTTGTGTGTGGATGCTCTAAGGCAGTATTCTGCTCGCACAGAGAGAGAGAGAGTTTCCCGCCCGCTGCCGCCGCGTCTGCCAACCCTCTGCTGCTGTCGCTCCGACGTCCTCACAAGCTGGTCTCACCGAGCACCGTTGCCGCTGAGGTGGCTCCTCACTTCCATGTCGGATGCTGGTGTGGACACCATCGTTTTTCACGGCGCATTCCACACGTAGTGCGGCCACCTCCGCTGCCTGTCGGAAGGGAGCCTCTGTACCCGACATCCTCTGGGCCACCGCCTGGGCGCAATCCTCTATATTCCAGAGGTTTTATTCTCGTGATGTTTCACCCTCCTCCTTCTGATGGCACCACCTTCGGTGCGACGGTCCTTGGCTGACAGTCTGTTATTCCGCCGCTCATGATTGCGGCCGATAGGGTCCACAGCTTCAGTCCGCCGTGTTCTTTTCTCCTACACATTTGGGTTTTTTCTCAGACCTTTTCCTTTCCAAAGGTCCTGTATATACCTGGTGCACCAGTTTTTCCCAGGTGTTCCCACTCAGGAGTTTGCATTGTCCGTTAATTCTGCATAGTTGACATTGCTAAGTTGTATTCCATTTTGGTATGATCTACTCCACTCGCCGTTCCGTGCGTAAGTTTTATGATAATTCCATCTGTACTCAGTGATGGTCATTCGGTGGTCTGTGCCTGGCATAGTGTGGGCTGATTATGCTTGTTTATCATGCCACGCACCTTTTACTAGAACTTTCACTAAGTCCTTGTGTGGACAGTGTGATAGTTTCTTGTTTCCGTTCAGGGTGCGGAACCGACTTTAAACAAGACATAGTTATATCTCACCGGAAACTCCGACATGCAATTTCCCATTTCACAAGCAATGGAAAATTGTGTAGTGAAGTGGGAATTGTATAAGGAGTTGGAGGTGAGATATAACTATGTCCCACCCACCCACCCTGTTTGGGTTTGTTCTCCATGAAAATAGGCCTGAAGGGCCTTGGATGAGCTGCATCAAGTACAGCTTCATTAGAATATTGAACTTTAAAAAAATGCTGTGTTCGAGCATGAAATCGCGTAAATCGCGAGGGCTAGACATAGTTATATCTCACCTCCAACTCCTTATACAATTCCCACTTCACTACACAATTTTCCATTGCTTGTGAAATGGGAAATTTACATGCTGATGATCCACGTAGATCTGCAACAGGAAGGAGTGACCGTTGTCCATGCCATCAAGGTCGCTTGGAGTTGACCAGCGCGCGGCCTACACTGGGTATGTGGCGCGCCCACATGGCAGATTTCTTACGTCATGAACAACGTGATTTGACCCTACTCGCCCCAGTCTGTGTGCTGCATATTGAGGAAAAGTCCCGGCTGGAAGGCCTACAACACGACATGTGTGCTCTTGAGCTGGACATCAAGATGCACTTGATCCGATCTAGATCAATGGGTGATCCATGTAAGTGCAGGTGCGCTTGATCAAGGCGACTCGGAACAACTGCTGAACCGTGATCTACGAGACCTGGCATTCTTGTTTCACGAAGCACGTGATTTCATCATTCCTCTTGCAGTAAAATCCAAAACTACACGCAAAAATTCAGTCACTTTTGCATCAACTGTTGCACCGAAAAATGTTGGTGGCGCAAGGAGAAGCTTGTCGTTTGGAGTGACAAGTGATCACCGCTGCTTTTCCTTGTCAGAGTCAACAATACACTTTGTTCTGCAGCGTTGGGAGTGGTGTTGGAGTAGAAATTGCTGACTAGACGTCGCGGAGGGGCGAGCTTTCCTGCGCAGGTATGAGTTTGGACGAATTTCAGAATGGTCGAGTGGAAAAGATCAAAATTGTATATTTCAAGAAAACCCAAAAAGGATGATGGGGGACATGTCCTCAGTGCTAGAAGAGGTGTTCTACTATCTGCCGGTGTATAGTCTTTGCTAATTGAGGACGTAGCTAGCAGTTTTATCAGCGCTTGTAATTTGGCTATTTTGAAGACCATCATTTGTGACATCAAGGGATGATTGCCCTCGTCTTCTGGGATGCTGGCGTGGCTAAGTGGGGCTGCCCCAAGAACTCTTCTAAGATGAGGCAATGTTGGCTTGATGGAGTTTTGTTCGTAGCTTGTTCTTGTGCGCTGTGCCGTGGCTCGTTTGTAGACCAATAAATCGTGCCAATATTGGGCCAAAATTGAGTGGTATGCCAAAGTCATGGTTCCCTTCAAAAGATTTTGCGCGGGCTTTGGAATGTCGATCTACACCCCAAAGCAAACCTACCTGCAAAATTTGAGCGAAATCTTAGAGATCGACTTGCACATATGTTCTGGTTTTCTCAGACATGCTCTCTGAAATATATTGTACAATTTTCGGATCACGAGACATAGTTTGGCTCCGCTATTATGTGTTGAAATCTCAGGAACCGTTGATCGCAGCGCTTCCTGAATGGGTTCTACGGCACGCTGAACGTTTTCTCTTTGACATAGATATTTGGATTGTTGAATTTTAGCTAGTTTTGACCGAGTTACCTTGGTTACGGCCTGTTGAAGTCTCAACGTCGTGTGTAGAATTCTACACATTCAAGTACGGGGCGGCTCTCAAAGGGTTAATGGGAGTTGTGATAATTCTCAGAACGGCCATTAGAAAAGTCATTAGTTTCTTGAATCTGCAAAGTATTCAAAACCAACTGCTGTTCTGGTTTACAAAGCTATGTGCAATGTTTACTAAGAGGTCCGTTTTACTTTCCTGTTGATTGACCATTGTTCATTCTACCAGAACAACAGGACATGTCTGGACAGTGCAGTAGCAAGTAATTTCAGCAGAATTGCTCAGCCTGCGGCTAGACTAAGGGCAATTATCCGCCATCTTGAGAGCCAGTACCCAGAGGAGCAGAAGAAGGTAAGCACTACTTAGAAGAAATGAATATACATCAAAAAGAATTTCCCATTCGAAAACTTGCGTAACCAATGAGGTAACAATATCACTATATTCCCTCCTGAAACTCACACATTGTCTCCATGCTGCAAACACCGCTTTAGATTCACCAAATATTCAGGCATGGCACAGTATCAGGTTACTGGTTCAAACTAATGATGGGTTATACCCAAACATTTAGTGACCCAAAAGTGACGTTCGCAGCAGAAACGTCCCGGTGTGGGTGTTTGGAATGAGTGCAATAATGCAGTTTACTAAGACTGCGGAAAGGATGCAATAGTTTCAAATATTAATAGCAATGAGTACACTCAAACGTCTCTTATCCGGATGCCTCAGATACTGGCACGCCTCTCTACTGGGCACCTTTAGCTTGAGTTCCTATGGCACAACTGCTTCCAATTTGGGGGTTTGAATTTTTCGTGTACACTAGTGTCAATTTATCACTGCCCACCTGTGCAATTCACTCATTTTCATCAAGACATATTTTATCCTGAATATGGGTAATATGTGCCAAAAACACTTCTTCAAAAAGCGGTATAATACATGGTAGACGAGCTGTCCTGAGATAACGGAAAACCTGAGATACGGGCGGTGACGTTCGAGCTCATACTGAATCGCTCACTCCAGCAATAAAATTTAGTAAAAGAGAACATATCAGAGAAAACCAGAAAATTTGTGCAAGTCGATCTCTCCAATTTCGCTCAAATTTTGCAGGTAAGTTTCCTTTGGGGTGTAGATTGACTGTGCAAATCACGTGCCCCGTGACACCAGATTGCCAGGTCTCGTAGATCACGGTTCATCAGTTATTCTCAGTCACCTTGATCAAGAGTGCGTGCACTTACAAGGATCGCCCGTTGATATTTAGATTGGATCACATGCATTTTGATGCCCAGCTTAAGAGCACGCTGGTGGCGTTGTAGGCCTTCCAACCGGGACTTTCCCTCAACACGCAGCACAGAGACTAGGGTGAGTAGGGGCCGAATTGCGTTGTTCATCACGTAAGAAATCTGTGATGTGGGCACGTCATGTACCACATGGAACCAGTGTAGCCTGTGCTGGTCAACTCCAAGCGACCTTGATGGCATGCTCGATGGTCATTCCTTGCTGTTGCAGATCTACATCAAGCATCAGCATGTAAACTAGCCACGGTTCCTGTTGAGCCATGTTCGGGGTGTTCGAGGCTAATGTGAAATATGCATACAGTCAGCTTCGCCAATAACGACTGCTGATATAGCGACAATTCGCGAGTAACGACAGAATTTCCATGCCCAGAGCAAAGTCCCATCCCATGTAATACATAAAATGAGACTTTGGGAATAACGACATTTTGCGAATAAGGACACCTTTTTGACGCCCACCGAGTGTCGTTATAAGCGAAGTTGACTGCACCTGTTCTCACTGCAAGAGGACATATCTTCAAGAAGTCTTGCCAATGCAATACTGCTAGCGCTGTAACGATAGGGTCTGCGGGTTCTGAGCAGAGCATGCAGGAAATATGATGTGTCTTACCTCCTCCATTATGGTCCGTTTCGAATAGCACATCAGGAACGATCGTGATCGTGTGCATTGTGTTGTGAACCGGAAATCATTATTCTACATCATGAAGCATGTGATTTCATCATTCCTCTTGCGGTAAAGTTCAAAAACTACATGCCAAACAGTCACTTTTTGCATCAAATGTTGCACCGAAAAATTGTGGTGGCGTAAGGGGAAGCTTGTCGTTTGGAGTGAAAAGTTGTCACCGCTACTTTTCCTTGTCAGAGTCAACAATACACTTCGTTTTGCAGCTGGTCTACAAAGCCGAAGTGACACGCCGTAATGTTAACCCAGCACGTGTGTACTTCGGAGCGACGGAGCCAACGTTCAAGACCCGGTACGGAAACCACAAGGACACATTCAACCACGAGCAGAGACGAAAGAGCACCGAACTATCCAAGTATGTCTGGAAATTGACGGAGAGACAGGAAGACTACTCGATCCAGTGGAGTATTTCAGAACGAGCACAAGCCTACAGCAACATCAGCAAGAGGTGCCAACTTTGCCTCTCGGAGAAGTTCCGATCATAATCGCGGATAGAGAAACATGCCTCAACAAGAGAAGCGAGCTTATCTCGAAGTGTAGACATGCCAGCAAATTCTCGCACGCGAACTACACGGGGTCACATGATGAGATATGCGGTGTTCCCACACACACACGCGCACGCGCGCACGCACACAAGCACGCACGCCCGCACGCGCGCACACACACACACACACACACACACAACCACACACACACACACTCTATCTCTCTCTCTCGTGCACACACATGTACACCCTCACTCTTTCACACTCACACCAAACCACATTTTTGCGCCATTAGCGACACTGGTATCTGCAATGTAACATACTACCCATCCCTTTGGCGTGACACAACTACCACTGAAACCTACTTAATTCCTGCGTCGGTTCTACATGTATCTCCCATCTTGGTTATAGCAATATACCTCAGCCATGACACTTGCATTCATATTACGCACAGTGTATTCCAGCGCTGATGTTATCTCCTCAAGCTTCGTGGTTGCAGCACTGCCTTAGCCTACATTACAATTACCCTATATAACTAGCGAATAGCATTATTATGTTTTATCGTCTGATGAGTGTTTTTGAAACACGAAACTCGGAGTTGCGAGTTGCGGAGTTGGTCTCTGTGGTTCTGCCTCGTGTGGTAAGCTCTGCCCCTTGTTGAGGTATTGAGCATTATTTGCAGCAAAGACCCCAGACACTTTGTTGTATGTACTACGTATACACGTATATTAAGTTAAGGGGGCGTTCGAATTGTCTTCAGCAACTGTTCGAACAATTTTTTTAAAGAGATTAGTTGAAGTGTCCCATTACTAGAACGTTTTCTATCAGTTTAGAGTTTTCAGTGGAATTGTCGATGACGTCCGATAAGATCGACCATCTCCACGCACTACGTGACGTAGCTATTCCAAACCCTTCGGAAAAAAGTCAAAGAATGACAATTCGAACAAGCCCTAAGTGGAATAGCCATAGAAGAAAGAATTCCTTCTGCTCATGCTACCCTGTCCGTGACCGTCTTTCCTAGCACCTCACTTCACTCCAACCATGTTTCTCTACGGACTATTCTCTACCAACCACCTCTTCCCTGGTCCTACTTTTACATCTGTCATTGTGTTTCCTGTGTGTTCTATTGGCAATGTAGGTAATGGAAATTGTTCGACATGCCGCTGACAAGGAGACTGCTACCCCTCACAACCGTCGTTTTCTTCAGGTAATAGAAAGCACAACATGTTATGAGTTATGACTAACTGTCCACCGGTGTAACCAGATAATTATACCGTCAGCAAGTGTGACAAAGGGCACAAAACTGATCAGGAGTCTCTAGCTGAAAAACTGACAAGGAATGCTCAGATTACCCTTCCATGTTTACAATAATAAACTTGAACCTCCCAATTTGTGTGGTCTGTTACTTTGCTTCGTTGGGTTGTAGTAAAACCGGTACGTCCAATTGTCTTACGAGTGAAGTCTTTATACAGTAACGTTCGGCATTCTTTGTTGCTGTGGGACAAAGCCCGTGCTCATCTTCGTTGCGCTTTCATTCCCCTATTTAGATATTTCCTTACCTGAGCCTCCCAAGTTGGAAGGTTGTTGGTTTACCCCTCTTAGATGTGTTGGAGTGAGGTATTAGGTCGTTGAATGTCTCAGTACTCCTTGTCAGTTTTGTGCCCTGTTGTCGCATATGCTGACGGTGTATTACGTGGTTGCACTGTGGGACAGTTGGTCATAACTTGTAACATTTTGCCCTTTCTTTATTTTTACATGATTACATTGGCTAAAGATCCGAGCTCTTCAGGTAAAGTCTCTATATTATCTTTTATACTGAGTATTCCAAGTATCCCGTTGCTATGGAGAGTATCGTGGCAATTGAGGTCATTCACTGATGTTATGTACAAGTACATAATTATTGTTAAAAAAAGGATGAAGTTTCGTTTTCAATCCGTGCATATGGTAAAAAGTCGTCTGTACTTTCAATACGTTTCACAAAGCTATCTTGGACTCATTTTTTCCATGTCCACCATCCTAGTGTTGAAAGTAGCGAGAATCTTCATAGATTCATTTCCTGCTTGTGTTTAAATTCAGGCAAGTACATGTGTGCAGTGCATGCCGCTTGCCGAAAAAAACATAATAGCATGTGGACAAGCTAATCTTCTCATTTACATTATCCGATTTATTAAAAAAAACATCTCCACTTAAGAAATGGGCTCCTCACATACTTTACTGTCAAACAGATGAACACTGCCAACTATGGAGCATTATCATCTTCACAGCCTTTAAGGAGGCTCCCACCTAAAGAAGTAAAAATAAAAGGTCCATGGACACCCTGTTTTCTATGCATAGAATGGTGGAGTGATGTCTCTCCTTCAATTTGGTATAGTTTTGAGGTAGGGTCACCAGGCATATAAGAGGTACTCTGGTGTATTTAGTGAGTGTACAATTTCTTGATTTTCGGCAAAAAATGGTAAAAAATTGCTTTTTGAACCAAAGAAGCCTCCTGGAAGGAGGATACTAAGCATTTTCTCCATCATATGTTTAAGAACCACATTTGGAGGTATTTTGGCTACACAAGATAGACTGTGTCTTGGTTTTGCCCTTGGCGAGCAACTTTTTCGAAATTACGGGTACCGAAATTTCCATCTGGTGCTGAATTGTGAAATGGTTCAGCCTGCAACATTTTGTCCATGGACATATTGATTTTTGTGGCTTTCTGTGATCCTTGAGCCCCAAGGAAACCGATAATGGACAGTGATGGTGTCACCAGGCACTTTAGGCCCCTACCAAACAATATAGGTATGAAAATATGGTATTTTTAGGCCAATTCTGAAAAAGCATTTTTAGAAAATCTGACCATTCTTGCCTTCTTGACTAAATATCACTACCAATGACATGGTAGTATGATAATATTATTTTAGAAGAAGTTATTTTCATGCTGCAACCTCCTTTGGACATACCAGACAGTCGGTGCTTGGAAAGATACATGTACCATTACATGTATGTCATGTAGCCTTCAGCCCTAGCACATTGGTATACGAGTAGTGTACATGTACATGTAAGGCAGCGAGGTTTCATAACAACCTCGACCATGAAACTGGCACATGAATAATGTGAAAGCAGGCATTCAAAATAAGGCACACTAAACACTCACACGCGTGCGTGCGCACGCACATAAACACCCACCCACATGCACGCACTCTCGTGCACGCATCATTGTAACACTACTAGTCCATAGTAGGACTTAGTTTAAATAAAAGCATGAAGACCAGCCACTGCACTGTGCATGCATTTGCTGGTTGTCACTTGCGTTGATAGCAGCAGACTCCAGAGAAACATCTCATGAAGGGCAATATGCATCTACACACGCTGGTGTGCACACATATGATATACATGTAGTGTACTGTCATGCTCTCTCGGCAATTATTTTTGTGTCTCAAATACGGTTCACAAATGCGCATTCACATGCAACTCCTGTACTGTAAAGCCATTACCACACTGTCCTTGCGGACACCAGAGAGGAGAGGGATACAGAACCAGCACCGTGAGCCCCTCCCCCCCCTCCTTCCACACCTAGCTTTGCACACGCGCGCACACATGCACGTGCATACACACATACATGTACACAGACATTTGCATGCACATGCACACAGTGCACGCGTGGGGACATGTGCATAACCCAGATCAACATTGCGTGCGAACCCACACATGCGGGCACGAGCACGCGTGCACATACACACGTGCGTACACACACACTCATACACCTGCCCAACGCTGAAGCGAGGATAGCGAACAAACTACGTTATACATAGCAACTTGTGCTCGGATTACACCTTTCAACAGCTTGCACACACACACACACACACGCGCGCGCGCGCGCATGCGCGCGCATACACACACACACACACACACTCGCGCACGCTCACGCGCGTACACACACACGTGCGCGCGTGCGTACACACACACACACACAAACGCATGTACTTGCGCATAGGAAAGGATTCAAAATAATCAACCACAGGCATTTGCCCAATACACACCTGAGTGTGCACATCTTCGTTGTGGCATCCCCATTTTTACAAAAGCAGGAATTTAGAAGTTCATCCTTACACCATCAGTGCAGTACAATGGTTGACAACGAACCTCATTCCTACAGGGACAGTAGCCAAAGTTCAGCAGCTCTGAGATGCGTCGTCCACTGAGCTCAGGATACTCTAGGATCCACAGAAAGTTTCAAACGGCACTCGTGCGGCTGGAGCTGCAAGTGGGTCCACTTACCAGCGAGTGGGCAGCCACATCACGCTCCACGTAGTCCATGCTAAATTCCAGTACCAGTACTAGTATCACTACGTTCGACATCGATGTCTTCACTGACTTCAGCCTGCTTTTCTCACCCTTCTTCGTCAGTAATATAATTTGTTCTTCGTGGCCACATCGTACTGCTTCAACAAAGTTTTCACAAAAACATCAAGCAGCGTAGGAACTGCCTTTGTTTTGCATTAGCCATGGCCAGTGATTCTTTCCAGCGTAGAAACAGCCACGGCTACAGAAACACTTCAACGAGTAGAACTACATCCTGGAACAACTGCGAGCACAGAGAAATCAAAAAACTTCTTTCTGAACAACAGCTTTTTTTCCGCATGGAACACAACATTTTTCGAATCTCCCGGTAAAAAACAGATTTCGGAGGTGCCCTTTTTACACTGCGGTGCGCAACTGTTCGGAGCCTCCTTAAGGAAAAGTTGCCTTCAACACTTATATCCAGTAATTGTTATTCTTTACTAAGAAAATGGCGGGCATCACGCAACTGCATTATAAAGGAAAGGGGGTTTATCAACTGACAACCCCTCTATTCAGTTGCTATTCACAGTGAGTGGCCCGCAACGTCACAATGTTTTGACGTCACTGATAAAGAATTTTCATCCAGCGCATGCGCCAAGTGTGAATAGCAACTGCATAGAGTGGTTGTAAGTTGACGAACCCCCTATTCTTTAATTGTTGTTCTTGTGTGTGTTATATATACGCAGACTTACCTTCAGCTGGAGGAATTTTATTCCGAAGGGCAAGTGGACGCTAATAATCTAGTTGTTCTAGTTAGCGGGGAACAACTTGTTGGGAAGTCGACACTGATCAAGACATTGAGAGAAGAAGGGAACAACGGCACATCAAACGACTCGAAACGAACCCGAGGCATCCAGATGTCCAACTTCACTGATAATCTTGGTCAGCATTTGCGTATCAAAGATCTCGCTGGGCAGGACGCGTTTTCAGCGACACACGACATTTTCTGCCTATCCACATCAGTACCAAGCCTCGGTCTTGCTGTTGTCAATAGTAAATGGGACGAGAAACTGATTACAACAAGCATAACCACCACAGTTGGTCGGTTTTTGAGCCGGAGGCCACCATCGGTAACATCAGGTCAGTGCGATATTTTATCAAATGCATTTTTGTGAAATTTTGTTTGTGTCTGTTGATCCGTATGTCGGCATGTACTGTAGCAGACATGGAAATTCAGTTGATTGACCGGGGCCGGCGCCCTCAGCGCGAACAGAACGCTGCGTGCAGTGCACATGTTGATCCGATACGACCAGCGCTCTGCAGAGCATAGATACATGTGTGTATCGCTTGTCCACGGCCGCATGGCGAGTGCCCTGGGGCCGCTAGATGTGTGACCAGATTTCCATGTCCACGACAGTACATGAATGAATGAAGGATTGGGGTATGTGTTTGATTCTGTATACTGGTGCAGGGAGGGCACTGTGTGTGTGTGCATGCAGGTATGTGTGTGTGTGTGTGTGCATGCAGGTGTGTGTGTGTGTGTGTGTGTTTATGTGTGTGTGTGTGTGTGTGTTATTTATAGTGGTGTGCATGGGTAGTCGGATACCCATGCAGCCCGTGAGGATCTCGTGTAGACGGGTACAGAATAGTACCTGAAAACCCGAAGTCGCTGATGGCATCATGTACAGTGCACATGTACAAATTCATGTAGTACTCTGCATGTCTATCCAGTATGTAAGGGAAGGAGTGCATTGTGCTGTCACCTTGGAAACATTACCCAATAGGGTATCCGTGCTACCCATGGAAAACTACCCAAAAAAATCCCCTGAAGAAAATGCTACCAGACTCAACCCTAGATATTCATCCCTCTGTCCATGGTAAATGCCTGTAATAAGTCCTTGGGTTGAAACATTGGTGAAGGTCGAGCACATATGCGTCAATATGGGCCCGGGAGCGTATGTGGTCCTGGCGATATTTTGGATACGTGAAATCAGACTGTTTTCACATGAACAAATAGTTTTATTCACAAGTGTTGTGCACTACACTGTACACTGTACTAACGAATTGTTACTGCACATCAAGCTGAACATGCACTGCCCCATGTACTGGGTCTTTTCTTTTGCCCATGCATGTTCACACGGAGGTGGTCTAGAAAATGAGATGAGAGTGTCGATACATGGCACATGGGCGTACACGGATAGTGGACATTATACAAATCCTCAAGTTATTCCGAACTTTCCACAGATGGACTTTTCACGCTGTGTGTGTGCAGTGGTTAACAGTTTTACCACACAGAGCACTATGGTCTGTGCATAAAGGTATGTACCGCTACCAGTCTACTGGACACCCGGACTGTCGTGCTACATGAATCACGTGGCACAAGTCCACAGACTTGTCACGTGCACATACATGCAGGCAGGGAAAGTGAGATTTGTGTTTGAGAAAGAAATTAATCATATTAGGGCATGGAATAGTCCCGCCTCATCTTTGCTGCAACAATGAGTCCACAACTGACAAGTGAGAAAACAGCAAACAGCTTCTGGATCGAAAACGTTCAGATCCTTTAGTGTTGAGAGCCTTGAATGGAAGAGCCTTGGTTCAAATATTCTGCTCTCTTCTCCAATTGAGCAATGTCCAAAATAAGCTATGTCCATACCAAAATTGTCTATGCCCGATAGAGCCCAAGATTTTCGGAAACATTCAGAGAACTCGCATCTATTTTCGCCATCTCCAGACTTTGCTCTCCAGAGATCTGATAATAGAATCAGCCTGGTCGGCATTAGCTGCTTCTTCTTCATTTGTCGCAGAAACAGCAGCGATAACTTCTGACTGGCCTGTGCAACCACTTCTCCAGTAGATTACCAAGGTTCTTAGCCCGAGACCGAACATATGGAGGTCAGGCATGGTTCCATCCTCACGAGTCACGAGATATATCTTCGAGGCCGCTCATAACACCCTAGTACGTACTATCGGTCGCCAATTCATTTGAAGTAGCATTAGCACAATTGCTTTAAAACACTCTTTTGACCAATTTTTTTAGCTTCATACTATGATATTGCGGAGAGCGTGTTGCTTAAAATCACCTTTCCTCAAATCTCCTCACCACAAATATATAATAATTATTTTTATAATTTTTTTTGTTTCGGTTTCCCATCTCTTGTTGTTCCAAATACAGACCAGCCGTTCAATGTCATGATCATTGCGACCTTCCGCGACGAGATCAAGAGAGAGGATCATGGAGAACTTGCTGCAAAGCTTGCCACAAGCTATAGTAGTGTCAAGGTGGAGTTTGGTGATAAACTCCACTTTCACGGACCCTTTGCTATCAATGCCACCGTCAATGACACAAGCTTCGACCGCCTGAGAGTAAAACTTTCTGTGGTTTGCACAGATATCCTGAGCGTAAGTAAAACTGTAAACCATGTTTCAATTACTACTAGTCTAGAAACTAGGGGATAGTAAAGGGATCAGGAAAGATAAAGTGTGGTAGGGAGAGTTATAGTTGGAAAGATGGAGAGAAAGAGGGAGAGGTATAAAGAGATAGATAATGAGAACGAGAAAGAGAAAGAGAAAAGAGCATGAGAGAAGAGAATGAGAGAAATAGAGGCAGAAAGAGAATGAGAGAAAGAGAGGCAGAAAGAGAAGAAGAGAAAGATGGAAAAATGATGGAGGGAAAGAGTTGGGGAGACAGAGAGTGAGATTGGGAGTTAAAGAGAGACGGAGATAGAACTGCAATGCACACCAGTGCATTAGACAGAGTTTATAGTCATTTATGGTGATCCGCACTTGCACCTCTCCCGTGAATTGTGAATTTGGTTATGAAAGAACTATTCAAACTGGAAAGCAAACTTATACGATGTTCCAAGAATGACCTTCACAAAATAATGTGCGGCATAGAAAGTGGCAAGCTGCAGGGATGGTGCCTGGAACATGGCCTGACACGAGGGAAAATATGGATCAGCGATTTTTGGTCCAAGACCACGTGGCTGTGAGTCTGATCTACTCAGCCACCAGGACAAGGTCCTAGGGGTCTGGTGATTTTTTTCTTTTCAGGCAGTTCACTTCCCCGACTCATCCTTTGAATTATCCAATTATCCATGATCACTCGGCCGAAGGCTAGAGATAGGCACCCATCGAGCTAGAATCCAGCAGCCAAAGGTGGGGCCATGCATCATATGGATATTAAATGATGGTAGGTAAACAACAAAGAGAAACACACAACCCTTTTCTAAATATCGATCATAGGAAACATGAGAGAGTTTGGAGGAAAATAGGACTGAAAGAACTCCGCCACCCACCCCAGAGCATTACAAAGCAAGGACCTTACGCAGGATAGCTGCCGAGCCAAAGAGAGCATTCTTTTGCCATTCAGATACAGAGCAGTAGCTGGTGATACCGATGGTGTCAAGGTATCCTGGCAACTGTTTGGAAACATGCCCAAAGCCCCAACTACTACAGGAACAATCTGAGTCTCAACTTGCCATAGGCGATGGATTTCGCAAGCAAGAAGTTGATACTTGGCACGTTTCTCAACTTCCTTTTCAGCAACGCGTAGATCACCAGGTACAGCAATGTCAATGATCAGGGCCTTCTTGGCAGATCCATCCACCAGAACAATATCAGGCCGTCGGTGCTTAGTGAAGCGATCGCACCGGATGGTGAAATCCCACAGAATCTTGATCTTCTTGTCCTGCGGAGAGATTTGGTATCTGAAGATTCTCTTTCTTCAGGCACATTATCCTCGGGTGCAGGATGCTCTTGTGGCATTGCATTGGTCTTGGTATGCTCAAGAAGTGTTTCTACCCGTGTCATGTGCAAACGTGCACTACTCGATGACTGGAAATACTCTGCCGCACTATTAGACTTCAGCGGTGCATTTGATACCATTGTCCGTGAGAAGGCGCTGGCGCGGTTTTCAGACTCTGGAGCTGCCACTGATGTCGTTGCCACTCTGATCTCGGACACGACGGTGAGAGTGAAGCTCAGTTCTCATTAAGGCAAAGCATTGGCTACAAATATCGGAGTAGTGCAAGGGATCCGCTCTCTCCCATCATATACAATGTGTATGCTGAGGGTGCCATGCGCCACCTTGATCCTATGCTATCGCACTTATCTTTTCCAGCACCAACCACCCAATATGCAAACGAAACAACAATCCATGACACGGAGAGGCGAGAAGTCGAGGAGATGGTGGAGAAATTAAGTGAAAAATTCAAATTACCTAATGTTAAATATGCAGAAAACACAATATATTACAGTAACTAAAGCCAACTCCTCTTGGCGATCTGTCAAGCTGCTTGACTCTTTGTTAGGGTCCGCAGAGGATATTCAGGCAAGAATAGGTGCTGCAAATAGAGCGTTCCGCTCGATTTCATGGAAGCGTCATAAACTGAGCTCCAGACTTTGTATGTTCTCTGCCCTCATTCTGCCTATCCTGTTGTATAACTGCGGGGACTGTGGGCAATGACACAGTAACTCAGTACTCGGCTGGATGCGTGTCACCGAAGAAAATTGCGGTACCTGCTTGGTGTTGTGTACCCTCACCACATGTCAATTGTTACGGTGTACTCCTCAACGCGACAAGACCCAGTCAGCACTACCTGTCGCAGACGTCGGCTGCTCTGGCTGGGCCATGTTGTTCGCGATGGGCCTAACTCAGCGTCCTACCAAGCAGTGGAGATGGCAATTAATACCCGGGACATCGAGAGCCCACGTTGCCGACCCCATCTCAGATGGATTGACAATATTAAAAAATTAATGATCTAAAGCACGCCGATATTGATAATTCTGACTGTTTTGAACTGGCTCTAGACAAGAAAAATGGCGGATGCTTGTGGAAAAATGTGCTGCGCTTGCGTAGTTGTTCTTACTGTGGTGTTTTATTGTTCATGGCATAATGCCTTTTGTTTGATAATCTCACATGCGGGAAAGTCGCAGTTGCAACAACATTCTATTTCACCATACTTTTATGGAGCTCTTCCCTTCATGAGGATAATGCACTTCCTCCATTACACAAAGATGTGCGCTGGTGGAGAGCGGTTGCACTTTTTGGTGCTCCGCTCTCTTGGTGCACATCGATAGCACAGAAAGTAATGGCAACCTTCTGTGCTTGTTTTACTCTTGCCGAAGACTGTGGTGTTGTGGGCGAGCGGTGCTCTGGTGTTTGTTTTGTTTCATGAAGAAAGTTTTGGGAGAGCCGGTCAACGAAACGGTCCACAAAGGAGTTGGAGGAAACCAACAAAAAAGGGACAGAAAACTCACGAGTGTATCAGTTTGGGACATGGAATGTTCGAACTCTGTGAGAGCTGGGCAAGCTAGATCTTTTGCTGAAGGAAATGGAACGACTCAAGCTGGATGTTCTTGGTCTGTGTGAAACGCGTTGGAGCGGAGAAGGCCATTTCGCCAGCGGTGACAAGTTGGTAATTTCAAGCGGCTCGCCGGACGGTGGATATGGCGGAGTGGCTGTCGTTCTGAGCGCAGCGGTGAAGAACAGCTTATTATCATATACTCCAGTATCAAATCGTCTCTTGGTGGTGCGCATACAGGCAACTCCTGTCCCTATTACCATCATTCAAGTGTACGCGCCGACCTCGTCATGCTCGGCAGAGGAAATAGATGATTTCTATGAAAAATTGCAAGCTGTCATGGACGCCATGAAGAGTCGTCAGGTATGTGTGTTCATGGGCGATTTCAACGCCAAGTTGGGAGTTGGGAGAGACTTTGAAAGCGGTGTTTGTGACTAAGGCCTTGGACAGCGCAATGAACGTGGGGGCATGCTGGCAGAGTTCTGTAGGATTAATGGCTTGGTCATTTGTAACACAGCTTTTCAGCATAATCTGCGCAGTCGCTACACATGGATATCTCCTGATGGTCGCACCCGTAATCTAATCGACTACTGATGATCAGCAAGTCATGGTTCTCAAGTGTGCTGGATTCCAGAGCTCGCCCTGGTGCTGAATGTGACACTGGTCACCATCTAGTTACAATGAAGTTACGCACCAAGCATTTCCGTAAGGTTCGCTGCAAGTCTGTGCGACCGTTCGACGTGGCGAGACTGCGGAATCCTGACGTTCCGGAAAAGTATTCAGTGGCGACTGAGAATCGTTTCAGCTTGCTGCAGGACCAGGAATACACACCAGATGAGTTGTGGGATCAGATTCAAGCGGGAGTTACGGAGGTTGCGGAGGAAGTAGTTGGGCGCAGAGGAAGGAAAAAGCCTCCCAAGCCCTGGATCAGTGAGAAGGTGATAGCTCTGGCAGAAAGAAAGCGTATAGCCAGATGCACTGGTAAGGACCAAGAATACAAGGATCTTAAACTAGAAGTGCGCCGAAGGATTCGCTGTGACAGGAGAAAGTGGTTAGAGGATAAATGTAAACACATTGTATCTTCTGGGAGGAACCATGATATCCGAGAGGTATTCAACACATTAAATCCATTAAAAAATCATCATTCCGGCCAAATCAAGCATGTATCAATGCTGCTGATGGCACGACCCTGACGGAGAAGGAAGATGTATTGCTGCGGTGGTGTGAATATGGGCAGCAGCTATTTGGCCAGCTGTCAGGAGATCAAGGGTGTTCGGCCTCGGCGGAGAATGGTGCGGAGGAGCTTCCATCGCCACTGATTACCCCTGAGCATGTGCCTCTCTTGGCTGAGCGAGCCATATTGTCCTTGAAGAAGAGGAAAGCCCCTGGACTTGATGGGATCGTGGCGGAACTGATTCAGCATGCATCCTCAGTTGTGTTCTATTCCTACATAAACTTTGTTTGGAGATTTGGAAAACAGGGAGATTGCCAAAAGCGTGGAAACGTCAAGAAATCGTCGTGCTACCCGAAGCTGGATCAGCTAAGGAGTGTTCCAACTATCGGACCATTGTTCTGATGTCACATGCAAGCAAGATCCTTCTGACAATTATCTTGAATCGTATGAAAGAGAAGATAGAGGCTGAGTTACCAGATGAGCAGACTGTTTTTCGAGCTGGTCGCAGTACTGTAGATATGCTCTGTGTTCTGCAAATCATTATCGAGAAATCTCTTGAATGGCAGAATCCTATTTTATCGATTGTCGTAAAGCCTTTGACACAGTTAACCACTTACATCTTTTCGGTTGCCTTTTGGATTTTGGTTTCCTTCGCCATATAGTTTGTTTGCTCCAGAATCTTTACACGGGGATGAGCGGAGTTATCAGATGGAATGGCTCGCATTCGCTAGAGTTTGCCATCAAGAATGGTGTTGGGCAGGGCTGTATTTTGTCCCCACATCTATTTAGCCTGTATACTGAGAGTATTATGCATGTTGCTGATGTGGACAGTATCGGTGTGAGCATCGGAGGACGCCAGCTGTCGAACCTACGATATGCAGATGACACGGGATTGTGTGCACATCCATCAGAAGTGTCTACCC